AGGTAAAGTGTCCAGGCAAGAAAACATTAAGGAAGGATATATCATCAAACTGAGACTAAAGTATGAAATTAAGACTTTTTTCTGCAGAAAAAGATCCACATCTTGCACTTCGGAATAAAAAATCAGCCACTTGAATTCTTATCTTTCATAATAATGTACACTGACACATAATTAACCTATTTGTTTCTATATGAAGCTAGTGCAGATTTAAATTGGAACTTAAATCAGAATCTGCAGATATCATTACTTAATGGTATATAAAAAAGCCAATAAAAATATATAAACTGTCACCTGTATAACAAAACCGGGCCAAAGTGAGAGAGTCACAGCAATCTGAAAGTACCTATATGTAACGTACATATCAGAAAATAACCCACGTATTTATGTTATATCCTTGGGACTTATTAGACGGAGCAAGATGCAGTCTCAGTCAGCTGTGCGCTGTGCCCAAAGGACAAGTGGCCCCAGAAGAGAATTTCCACACGCTTAAGCAAAGGGCAGAGATGTCCTTCATTGCTCAGAAGTCACTCATGAAAACCCCTGTTACTCAGCTTCAGAAAATGGTGACAGTCAAGGCAACTTACAACAAAAGGACCCAAATTTGGGGTACTGGTGTCTGAGTAACTTTCAAAGAGGTAGATTCTGTGCTTGCTTTCTGAAAGTGTCTCAAAAGACAAAACATTTAAACTTCTGAAACTGCTATTACCCAAGAGTTTACGAGAAGACATTTCACGTTCTTTTCTGGCCCATATTCTCAAAGCATCAAAATCTACCTTGAAAAGAGACTGAACATCAGTAAATTAGAACCCTTGTGTTTAGCAAATATTCGGGTAAGTTACAAATGCCATGACTGAGGAACTAAGGACATAGTTCATCTGAAATAATTTCTTTTCCCATTGCTGCAAGTTCAAACCTGTGTCCCTCAAACTCAGATTACAAGCCAAAAAACCACCAGGACAAACTGGGAGAGCGCAAATGTGCCACATGCAGAACTTCTATCCCCAGCACAGAGGATGAGCTCCTGTCTTCCACTTGCTGCAGGCCTCCCGACTTACAGATTGCCCTGCTTCTACCAAAGGAAAGTAAGTTCAGCAAAACATTACATGCAGCTCAGTTCAGCTTACCAGGCTCAGGCTCAGCCAGTGCAGTTTAAGCATGCTGTATGCCAAGACAAATGCAGACTAAAACCCCAGGCCCAAACTGCTGCCACGGTTGCTGAGTGTTCAAACAAGTGCGTCCATCATCACTATGAACAACTTGCTATAATCATCTAAACTCTCTGCTAAGATGGGCTGGGAGAGAAACCCTGCTTGGTTCAGAAACACATCAGCACAGAGTAATTCAGCGAGCGGGGACCTCGGACCTCAGCTTGCAAAGCAAACATCGAATTTGGACCAGCTTGTGCAAGGCTTCGCCTGGGCCTGGAAAACCTCCAAAGCCAGAGACGTCACCACCTCTTGGGTTAATCTATTTCAACGCCTGACTGTCCTATGAAGGAAAAAATCTCCCACTTCAGGTTGTCCACTAATTCTCATCTTCCACCTTTGTGACCCTAAGAAACCTGGCTCCATCTCCCTGAAAGTGCCTTTGGTCCTGGAAGCTGCAAGGTTGCCCAGAGCCTCCTCTTCTCCAGGCTGACCGTAACCAGCTGCCCCAGCCTCTCCTCGCGGACCACAAGCTCCAGTCCCTTAGGTCCACAGGCCCCCTTAGTGGCCTCCTGCTGGATTCCCTCAAGTTCGGGAGCCCCTTCCAGGTGCCGGGGGCTCCGGGACAGCCCGGCCGCTACCTGGCCACTCGGCCGCCACGCTCCGCGAGGCCCTTAATGCATCCACCCGGGAGGCGCCTCCGGAAGGGAGGCAGAAGGGACAGCCTGGGCAGGGATCTACAACCCTCAAGTGCTTTGGCAGCGCTGCCTTTTCTTCTGGCTTTCATTTTACTTCCTTACTTTACTGCGTTAGTTCCTCTCCTTTTGTTAGGAAGGCTTCAGGACATAAAACCGAGTTTGACAATGTTAAAAAGATGGTTCCAACTCAAGTTGTTTCAGGACCTTCTCATTACCCCATACTTCATACTTTTTCACTCAGGGGTTCTGTATTTTCTGATGTTTATACAGTTATTAAGCTACTTTGTAACAAGGCTGCAATGAACAGAAAATAACTGTAGGTTTATAGCAGTAACAGATTCTAAAAAATTCAACTGGGAGGGAATCCACTCTGGGGTACTTGGAAAACACACTTCAAAATAACTTAATTAGAAATACAGAGATAAACATCTCTGCTATATAATGTATATAATCCAGAACGGAGGAACCTAAACCTGCCCCAAAGTTGGAAAAACAAAAACCTCGGGCCATTTTTTAATAATAACAATAAGGAAAAAAAGGAGAAAAGAAATCAAAAGAGAAAAACTCCCTGGAATTCCATACCAATTCCGTACATCTAGTTTTCTATCAAAATTGGAATTCACACAAAAATTCCCCCAAAATAATCACAGCATAACTTTAGTAGTAAATGATTGTCACTTGAAATATAAAACCATCAAATACTTATCTAATACCTACAATAAAAACAACTTAAATATAAATCATATTCACTTGGATAACGTCGTTCAAGCTAAAAAAAAAAAACTTACCTTTTTGACTGCTAGTGAAAACGTAATTGAATTCTAATTTATCCATCTGTTCCCAAGTGTTTTGATTTTAAATTGATTTTTCCTTCCAAGACAGAGGTTGTATCATGAGAACACAGTATTTTTTTTTTCAAACCCAAAGGAAAAAAAATGTTACAGTTTGCACAAATGCATGGACTCCCTGTGATATAAAGGCAAGCATTTCACTATAGGCAGAGGAAATAAAGAGATAGCGACTTTTTTTTTTTTTATATTTGCTTGGGAACACTGCATGGAAATCTTACAATTTTGAAGCTAATATGAGGTTGTTTGCTTTGTTTTATTAGAAAAAATACTCAGGCAAGGTCTACAATCATCTGTCAATTATAAATGACTTACAAGAAACTCATGAAGCAATAAAATTAAAAAAATACAAATACAAACTATATCTGAAACACTTCTATTTGGCAATTTTATAACAAATTCAAAAAAGAAACAAAGATTGCAGATTACTTTATAGGTACAGAAAAAGCAGTAGGTGAAGTGCTCAAGCAAAAAAAAAACAAAACAAAACAAAAAACACTGCATTTTTTTTTTTCAAAAATAAAGTCACATCACTACATATTTTATGAATAATACCCTTATTAAACAACCATTCCAGAACATCTTATATTAGTGGTGCTTTTAATCTGCACTTCATTTCGTTTGATAAGATTTTTCTTTCCATGTATATAGTAACATTTTAACCCATTGGAGCTAAGCAAAGCTCTCTTGTCAGTACCAATGCAGAATGCATTTGTATTAATATTAGGATATGCTCACTTCTGCAACCAAAGGGTTACTTCTAAGTTTTATTCTATTTAATAAAAATTTAGTGTAAAAACTGCTGGTTATTAGATTCACTGTAGTAAATTCCTCCCCAATAAGGAGGACTAATTCTGCAGTTTGACTGCATATATCCATACAAATTTTACATATTAGCTCCTTCCAAGATCAAGGAAAAAACTAATGTTCACTATTAGAAAGGAGTGCCATGAATTAATTATGGGTACTATTCATCCCTCTAAGATTTCTGGGAAGGATGTTCAATGTATTTTTGTTCTTACAACAGATATTAACAGTAGTATATAGTCCCTTAGGTATGTAAAAGAAGGTTTTTTTATTGTTAAGGAAGGTGCTTTTTTAAACAATTCTTCTGGCAGCACTAGTGAATTACAATATCCTTCAATATTATTTCTACCATAATATATACATTTTAACTTTCATGCTCTAGAAAAACATCTACAGTACATTTCATGATATAAAAATATATTACAAATCTGCTGGAATATTTACAAGCAATGTCCTATTATCTATATGCAACATTTTTGTCTCCATACAAAGACTAACAGGTTAGACACATCTCTATTTTATTTGTCAGTTAAAAAAATCCATGGCTTCTTGCTTATTAAGCAAGAAAGTGATTTTACTTTCCTTTTCAAAGCCAACTTTGGTGCATAAAGGATTGAATTTCTAGATCTTTTTTTTTTAAAAAATACCATTTTCTTTACATCTAGAAAACATTAGACCAAATAAAAAAAGTATACTTTACAAGTGAATGGGGACTCTAGAGGGTCAAAAAAAGCAAAATAAAACACCACTAACACTAACTGCGTAAGTAGAGGTTTTTCAAAAACCGTCCATCGATACGGATCACACCAAAGTAGACCGCATTAACATACTATACTACTCCTGAAATAGGGCTCAGACATACTGCAACACTCTGAACATCTTTAAACCGTACTATATGTATTCATCGCTGATTGGAAAAGACAAGCATTCCATCAACACTGGTTTAAACATCATAATTCAACATATCGTAGAGATCTGCAAAAGGACACGAGGTTACAAATGACAAATGATTACTATCCACCATACTGAAAGGGCAACGAGATAATCCCCTTGGTAGCTGTTCTGCTGGCATGTGTGATAGTTCGGTAACATTGACAGGAAACCCAATAGCTTGTTAACAGTCCTTGTGGGAATTGTGAGTAAATGGTGATGGTTACTTTTTCTTTTCATCAAATATAACCTATTGTATTCACTAAAGAAAAAAGCAGCTTAAAGAAGCAAGCATGCAAAGCCGTTTAGTTGTTCCACTAAGTTGCCAGAAGAGTGTTTGCTCAGTCTCCCACTGTACCATTCCATGAAAATGTGGATATACAGTAATATATTAATATATTCCACGGAAGCATCAACTTCATTCACAGAATGTTTACACTAAGCATAAATATTTATCTAATAAGAAAAAAAAAGAAAAAAAAAAGGATGGGATTTGACTAATGTGCAACTTTGTTTCTAAATCCATTGTCAGTGACTAAGACTGCAGGTGTCCCCACTCGCTTGGTTTTTACCTCTTCAATCTCTTCTGGGGCATCGTTCTGTAAAAGAAGAAAGCACAGATTTCCATAAAGACTCCGAAACAAAAGTATGGGTCAGCTAAACCACAGTATGAAATCATAATTAAACACAATTTAATTAAAACAGAAAGCCATTTTAGGTGAACTCAAATCAGCATACATTACAGACAGTAACTAGTTCTTTCGGACTTCCTACTGGAGTCATCGTTTTACAGTAACATCAATATTTACATCTGAACTCCCATATCTGCTTTTCAACTGACCTCACCTACAGCTGATTCTAAAACTCTTTTTAATCATAAACTGATCTGTACCGCTAAAAATCTTAATCAACTATGTGAATCATCAATTATGTGAAGACACCTTTGTTTTATTTGCAGAGGAAGGAAGGTTTGCTCATTTTCCCCCAATGATTTCATCCCTCAAATCATTATGCTTTTATTTAAAAAAAAAAAAAAGATGTTTTATCACTTTCAAATAAAACCAACAAGTTCTGCAAACGCAATCAATATAAAGACAATTAATATCTATATTAGCTTTTACATCAGCCACCGTGTTTAAACAGTTTTAGAATTATACAATCCAATTTCCTTGCAACATTTTAAAGGATTACTGTTCACATCAATGATTCATATTAAAGTATTTTAAATATTTGCATTTATAAAGACAGCATCACGTTTAGTATAATGATTTATTTTCATATTTTAAAACTTTTTTATTAATTTAGTGAAATACACTAAATATTAAAAGGTGACCTGAAAGGCTTACTGCGTATCAAGATCTCAAATTAGTGTTCTGTGGCACCAGGTCATTAGATGTTAAGGAAGAAATTTATGAACACTCTGAACCAGAGTCATGGTAGATAAAACCAAACAAAACCCTCAATTTTCAAGCAATTAGAATCCAATTTTAGGCTTATTTTTATCAACATCTTCAGACCTTCAAAAATTAAAGCAAAGGAAGCATTTCAGATTACCTTTAAGATCTGTACACACATAGAACTGTGGGTACTGACAATTCCTTGAGAACATTAATAGAGAGGCAAGAAAAAAATCAGGAAATTACTAGAACCCAGATGGATTAGAAGCTACTCTGAAATCCTAAAAACACGAGTGTGAAGGCATGTAAAGACACGTGACATGTGCTGTCCCCCTTTTGTCCCCCCCATCGAATCTTGTATTAAAAAATTACAGTACTTGTACACAAGTACAGATTTCAAAGTAATACTGCATGTATTACAGCTGAATACAAAATATGTAAAGATAATTTGGACTTTAAAAAAAATTGGTATACAAACCAGCATGTGATCTTAACAGAAGTGATCTTTCAGGATTCCACTGTATGTACCTCCTTTACTAGCATTTCTGTACACCAAGCACAAAAAAGTAAAATACACTTGGTAAATACACACATTCCCCGTTTCTCAGTATCTAGAGTTCAGTTCAAGAAGTTAAGTAATTCTGCAATGACTTAAGACCTCAGAACTTAACTACTGGACGCTGACAAAATCGAGGCTCCCTGTTCTGATGTATAAAGTATTAACAATCCTGAGTTTCCAACGTCAAAAAGTTAAGTGAGGCTTAAGACTGTATTTAAATAAAGAAAGTTTCAAAATTAGCATGTTACCTGTATATGTTTGGGTCCAGAAGCAAGGCAGTATCTTTTGGTAGTTTTGATAAATGAACTACTTTAGTTTTTAATTGATGTCGCTCACTTTCATTTACCCACACATCAGGCAGACTATGAATAAATAAATAAAATAAAAATATTCAAAAAAGATCAACCCTTTTTCTTACCATAAAATAACGTGGCAAACTAGTACATATGAAGCTTTTGAACACAACCTCCACATTTCACTGGTTAAAAAGCATCTTCACAGGAGTGAGGATAAGGACAACCCATCTTTACACATTACACTTCAAAGCCTTTCAAGTTCACAGTGAGAAAGAGATACTAAACAGAATTCGAGCTATTACAGAAAGTACTAACCCCAAAATACAGTGCTAATTGCATTACATTCTGCATTTTAACAGCTCAATGTGAGAATGAGTAGTAGGAAGAAACAGATCGTGGAAGTGCCAAAGAAGAGGTAAGTGCAGGCTCTAATACCCACACACTGAACACCAGGCTGCAAGAATCTGCTTGCTCTGCACAGGCAAAGCCTTACGTGCTCAGGCCACTTTGCTCAAGTTAATTGCTCAGTTATTGTCTGAGGAGGTTCACATAAATAAAAGTATTTTGTTTTTTTTTTAAGGTTCTCTGAAGGTTTCACCTTGACACTGAAGTGTCACCTTGACACTGGTGACACATTGGTGACACATTGTTAAAAGGGCACTGGGCAGGAGTGTTGAAAGCTGTTACGAGAAGCTGCTTCTTCCCTCTTTCCAAGAGCAGGCACTGATCAAGGTTGTGCAAAATAAACGAGGGATTCATTTTGCTTTCCACCAATGGAAAAATAAGTGCTATTTTGAGTCCTTATAAAATGATCTACGAGCCAAAAAACTCATCTCAAGTAGGAGGGAGAAAAAAAAAAAAAAGGTGAATTTGTAGCTTAAAATAATCTTTTGAAATAATTTTCAATTTGAGGTACCTAGCACTTTTCAAAATTGCCTAATTGAAGTAACATTTTCTGGACAAAACAATCCACAATTTGTCAAAGTTAAAAAACAAACAAACAAACAACAAACCCTGACACAATCTGCAATAAAAGTCGGCTGCAGCTCAAATTCAAATATTTGATTAAAATTGAATGAAAGAGAAAAGGAAAATTCTCCAAGAATACTACTTCCCCTTTTCATGTGAGCGTGGATGAGGTTTAAAAAACCACAACCACCCACAAAACAAAACAAACAGAAAATGCAGACAATCTATGATTTCACTGAAGTTTGATATGAATTGAGAAAGGTCAAGAAAATCACCTATAAAACATTTCTTAATGTGGAAATCATCTTTTTCAGAAAGATTATTGAAGATTACTGAAAATAATTTGGAAGGCATTTGGAATAGGCTGATTTATATGTTGAAGATGGAAAAAAGGATGCAAACAACAGAGCAGAAAAGCCTTCACAAAAAAGCAACAATTCAGTACTTGGGGAAAAGAAAAAAAAACTAGAAAACTCTGAAAAATTATTTCTTGCTTTCATTGGAAGGAAGTTGTTCTCTGCATTGGTATCTACCTTGCCTGAAGTATTTAATCTACAGAAAACTTGCAGTAGTTTAACAGTTTCTCAAAATGACTCAAAATAGAGAAAACTAAATCACTATCACTCCATCTGACAGCGCAATGAACAGCTCAACACAATGGAAAATAACCAGCACGAGGGCATTCAACTTCTCTAAAGCACGAGCACCCTCTCCCTAAGACACACGGATGACACGAGTGACGATGCAGTAGAGCTGCTGATCTTTACTCTAACCGTGATGTAAAAGGAATGAAAAAGATGAAAAAAAGAAGAAAAAGGAATTTGCTGAATATGCAGCAGTTCCAAACTGTGTCAAGCATTTGCACGAGCAAAACACTGAGCTGAATTTGGATTAAAAGAAAAATGTACTTTGAAAGGTTCAATTTACTTCTGATGTTTCCAGCCATGTTAAAAGGCTTAAGCCTTTTAAGATACAATTAAGTCTTTTTCTGTAATATATCAGTAAGAATAATTTCAAAATAACTCTCCACAGTATTAGCAACTATCCTAAAAGGCAGCAAAACCCAGTATCTTTTATGAGAACATTTGCAGAGAATACTAGAAATCTGCAGAGAGTAAGTAGCTGTAGACACTTTAAAAAGCACCAAAAAAGCTGAACACTGCTGCCAATCACTTACCAGCCACCTTGGTCCTCTGCAGATGGATGTTACAATAGATTCACACCGCTGAGTTCACACTACAGCACATGACTAGTTTAAGGCACTACAAAAACTTACTGATTTTGTCCACCTCACCTGAGCAAAAGGTATCAGAGTTGTATGATACTAAGGCTTTGTATCACCTTCCCACTCAATCACTTAAATGTAACACTGGATCTAAAAGTTCCTGTAGTTTTAAAAGGTAATTGAACAAACTATGAAATAACTATCTTGCACAATTATTCTCTGTGCAGAAAAATCCTGTGTTTTTCCTGAAATGTAGATATTCTTAGATATCTATGAGTTCTACCAAGGTAGAACCTCTTTCTAGTAAAAGCAAGGTAAGAGAAAGAACTCCTAAACTTACATGTCCTGCTTAATTATGCAGCTATTTATCTTAATGTCTGAGCATAGACCCCAAAATGAATATCTATTATAATTCTACTTACCTTTAGAAGAATAAGTAGTTATTTCCCTTAAAACTTGTGGAAAACATGGATCACACAACACTTGCTAAACTACTCTCCTACTGGCTCTCCTAATAATGTTAGAACAAAGCGGAAACCAACAATTTATTCTAATTTCCATATAATTAAGATCTTAATATTTGCATATAAATTCTTTTCTTATTCAGGAGTCAGAGAGAAGTAAGATCTCAGCTACACTCAGTGAAGTAAATCAATTATTTTAGAAGTAGTTGACACTCACTACTGCCTAAGTCCCAAGCCAATACCTTCTGCTTGCAGTACATATGAATCTACTCATTTGGGACAGGGCAGAACTCACATAAAACAAGGCTAAAAGCAACCACACATATTGGAAGAGAGTTCAGAACTTCAGTGGGAGAATCTAAGGAGGAGGCAATAAGACACTTATCACGAAGCACTAGATGTGGGAATTTTAAAACTGTGGCACCTATGTCAAGTTTCTTGTAGTTTGATTAAAATACTGCTCATTACAGCTCAGTGTCTAAAAATATTTCAGAATCATGATGAATCAGGGCGGGAGCGAAGGCGAGGGGAAGGAGGGAAGGAAGGAAGGGCAATAGATTTCCTTATGTATATGGTAAGCAAAACCAACCTGAATTCATCATTCAGTAACTAGAAGATCTTGCTACTGACACCCACAGTGACAAAATGCAGCAAAAATACAGGTTAACATTTACCTGAACAGGTAGGGACAGAGCTTACAGACTGGGCAGCCAAAGTTAAATCAAACAAACGTAGGAAAGGGTTGCTTATGATCTTTTTTAAAAAATTCTAAACTACTAAAAAAAGTATTACATTTAAATATTAAAAGGAACACATAATATAACTTAGTGATAGCACATTTACCCCCCCTATAAATTCTTCCCCATTTAAATGCTATATGATATTGCTAGCAATATACTCACATGTCCTCTGGTGTCCAATGAAGTAAGAGTTTAATTTTTCCAGAATCTTCTTTTCTTTTAGCTATTACCTGGTAATAATTATAGAAATTGGAATTAAAACCAAATCTGCACATTTTTCCCCATCAAACAATGGTTATTCTTAATGTTCAGCTGGAAGTCCAGAAAGTAAAAACTACTCTCCCTTGAAAATTCTATCAATTCTATACATTGACAGGATGTATATAATACTAAACCATTCTTTGCATGTTTTAATGTTTTCATTTAAATTTTTCTTTAATATTTGTCTACTAAATGCCCCCTGGAGCATTTACATCTACAACAATCTTGTGTCTCCAACCAAACACGAAACAGACAGAAATGTCCACAGATTTAACAGTAAGATTATCAATATATATAGAAAATTACTGAGACCTGACAGATTTGTGATCTCTGAGGTTGCCAAGATGCAGCTCAGATGATCAGGACTGAGGTACGTGTCTGAGATACTGAGCTGTGAAAAAATCTGCAAGCTCTTCACCAAAAGCTTTTAAACCAAGTTCTCCTAAGATATAGTAAAAGTCTTCTAATGACCTAATAAGGTTAAAGCAGCAAAGTACAGTAGGGGCAGCTCTTGTACAGGAAAGATGGTCCCATTATAATCTTGACCACAGCTTTAGGATTTAAGTTCGTAAATCACATGGAAACAGCCCTGAAAGGCAAGATGACAAAATCTGTTTTTGATATCAGGCTATTCAAGATAATCAAAGGGGAGCTGCACTAGGATGTCATGATAAGACTCTGGCAGCTACACAGTAGTAAAAAGTACTTTTTCCAACCATCTTTGATAGAAAAGTATGTTCACATTTGTCTAGCTAACATAGAACAATACCAGGTCCTTAACTTTAAATAACATGCACTATTTCTAGAAACAAAAGGCCTGAATTTCATGCATCTCACAGTTGCCTCAGACATCAGAAGTAGAATTCTACTGACCTCTTCTGGGAAATGAAAATATTTCACTCTGCAAAATCAGCATGTTCTGACCACCTAGGGTCAGAAGCTTGTGGGCTGCAAAGCTTTAAGATTCCAAAACACACAGAATCGGCAAGCTGAAATTTGAATAAATAAATCTAATATACTAAACAACAGTTTCATATCCAAAGGTAATACTACGCTTTTCAAAAAGAAGCTTTAAGATGGAAAAAAAAAGAAGAAGAAGAAGAAGGAAAAAAGAAGGGGTAACCCATGAGCTGCATCCTTAAGCAGTGCAACATGTACTAGGGCAGGCAGATGGGGGCTCCCACAACTGAAGGTTTTGCCTGGGAAAAGCTTTCACACTAAAGCAAGCTGGCAGTTTGCAAAGCAATCTCTCTCATTTGGCCCTGCCATTTAAACATCTACCTCAGTTATGCCCATATCTCCCAAGCAGCAAGAAAACCAGGGCTATGATGCTTTCGAATCACAGAATCATTATAGCTGGAAAAGCTCTTTGAGATCATCGAGTCCCAAATTCTGATTCCTATCCCCAATCCAGGACTGTTACTTTTTCTCCTGTTCTGAGCACTTCTAAGTAAATACTAGTATCAGTTCATTCCACAGGTATTTTCTGAAAGATCTGAACCAAAATTAAACAAAGTGGATACTAAAACAAATCCAACAACCTGTTTCCCACCAGGTGCTTGTTTCCCAGCAATTGCTAATATTTTGATGGTTAAAAAAGAAAGAAAAGGGGGGAAAAAAGGCAACAATGCATTTATTTAAGGTCCCATCTTCTAAACTGAAAGTATAAACTCAAATTTCAAATTAATTTCTTATAATATTCAATTACTCTGTTACTCTCAAAGTATTCCTTGTAATAAAAATTAGCAGTGTGACTCACTGTTGACTTGGCTATAAAAATGCCAAATGAATTGCACTGTTATTTAGCAGATACAACTGTATCTACGCATCCCACATGTATCAGACAGAAATGTTTGAAGCTACTCAATTTGCGAGACAGAACCACTACTAACACTACTTTTCAAAAGTTAGTGTACTCCTAGAAATTAATTTAAATTATCTACATTAGTAAGGAAGAAAAATCCAGGAATTTAGTTGAAGTTATAGCTTTTTAAGACACACAGGTAACAAACAGAATGCATAATGTAATACTCACAGTACTATGAAATACAACACTGTGGCCTTTTCCTAAACTTTCTATGTGTGCTGAGAGGTTAAAGCAGATGGCTCGATGTCTTATGGCATCCAGTGTTTGTGCATCAAAGAAGTCATGTGGTCTCGCTAGAAAAAGAAAAGATCCTTAGTGCTGCAGCCACTGAGCGCATTCAAACACCTTCAAGCAGTTGCACCTAAGTCTGCAGTGTCGTTAGCAAGTCATTTATCACTATGACAGTAGGACTGTCTTGGCAAAGAATTATAGATATTAATTAAATTGAGAGGAAGGACTGTCTCCAAGTGGAATACAATCCAAAGTCTCCATTGAATTTCAAGAATAAATCCTTTTTCTTTTTTTTATAACCTTCTGTGTCAAGAGTTTATTATTTTTGCCAAGTACCTCTGGGAACATCCATTACAACCACTTCATAAAAAAAATTCTTAGTGCCAAGAAACTAAAACCAGAACTTACTAAAAAGTGGGAATTCATTTAAAAAAAAAAAAAAAAAAAAGCCCAGGAAAGTTCCAATAAATTTTTCAACTGACTGCTCAAGTCACCCTTAGAGCACAATCAACAGTCCCAATGTTACTGCTGTAACTTTGGGAAAATAGTAAGGTACCTGAAAACATTTGCTGTACACTTCCAACACATGAAAAGCACAATTACACCAAAAACTAGTATGTGGACGGTGTTAAAAACAATCTGCCCAGCTATTGGGCCTATTCATTAAGGGAGAAAAAAAAAAAAGAAAAGAAAAAAAAAACTATTTCAAGTATATACTGGGATGCTACAGAGAATCTGGATGGTGCTGAAGCAAAACTGCTTGCTGCAGCAGTGGAACACAAAGCAAAGGATTAAATAAGTCATCAGTATTGTGAACATATGGAAAATAGTGACCCAACTAGAAGTTTTTGATCCTTGAAGGGTAATGAAGAATCATCAAATGAGAAAACATAGAATGAGAAACACAGGAAAAAAAAAAAAGGCTTTTTTTTTTCTCTCTTAAATACAAGCACTCAATTCACTTTTTTTTTAGTTAAATTACTAGTCAAGAAGCAGATACTACATTTTCATTTGTAAATTTCAGTAAAGTGCAATTAACATCCAACTGATAGTAGCATAGTACTCTATAAACACCATGTACTAATAAAGTTCCTTTTGGAAAAGGACATGAAGAGTTAAGTATTTCATGAACCATATAAATATTACTAAACTCTGAATTGGAGTACAGCAAAGGTCTATCAATCAGATACTTCTGTTAGACATACTTAACACTGAAATTTTAATATACCATATAGTACCAAAGTAAAATTACATGAGTTAAGTGCATGAATGAAACTACTCTTTTGGGTTTTAGGTTATTTCTGTTTGTTTGCATTGTTTTATACGAGGAGAGTAACTCTGTATATGATAGAATAAAATTTAGAAAGGAGCCTACAGCATTATACTACCCAATATATTATCATGTAACTGGAAAAAAAGTGAGTCAGAATTGCTTTGTCCTTATTTAAAACAGCTTCTACATTCTTTTGTACCACGATTATCTATCTGTTATTACAAAAAAAAAAGTACAAAGTTCCACTTAAAACTAATATTTGCTACACTCCTGAGACTAATTACTGTTAAGCCTTCATCTGCACATTATGCTCCGTCCTTATTCTCTCCCAGCTGGATACTGCCAATTAGGCAACGAGCTCACTGAAATGTAGCCTGGCTGTGCATGGGAACTTAAAAAGGCAGTTCACGCTGCAGAAGGTCACAGAAGCAAGCATCCTTATCCTGAAATTCCTCAGCTACCTTGGAAAAATGGGGTACGGTTACAGGGTTTGGTAAATGGCTTACTAGTTTTCTTTCTTCACAGACAGTTATAAAAATACTGGGGGCAGAGAGTGTGGGAAGGAGGGACAGGCTTGTAAGTAGTTGTATACCAAGACAAATACCTCCATATTTTATCATCTTAAACGTCTGATCAGTAACAGGCATGAGGCGTGAAACTTCCAAAAGCCAGTGTTCTCCAGCAGGTACCTTTCCAGGTGTACTGGCTCTCAAGAAGCTGTTCCCCATTCCGTTAGGAGCATGGGTGGAGCCCTGCTCCAATGCACACCCAATACTTCTACACATAGAAACAGGCAGCCCCCAAAACGATGCCTTTGGTTTCATAGGGCAAATCCGGGCAGGATTTAGCATTAGGTGTCACTTGACAGATGCAAAAGGAAGAGCACAGGAGGTTAAAGGGGTGCAAAAAGCACTTCTTACTCCTTATGCAGTGTCGATCTTCTATCTCCTTTCCATGCATTTTAAATTAATTCCCTCAAAATAAATTTTGGAGCAAGGTGTCTCTGTTCCTGCACACTACAACATCCATGTATGCTTCAAGCATGTAAAGCAAGGACTTTCTGACTAGTAGCCTGATAAATAAAATGCCAAGTCTTGTGTAATTAGGACCTTCTTACCATAAGTTCCATGAATAGCAAACTTCTTGGTGTCTTATATGCACAAATAAATCTATTTATTAAGGCTGTTAATCACTGTGCCATCTTTGCAATGGGAAAAGTAAGTAAGTGACAACACTTCCATATAATTCTGGCTTCTGTGAAAATCCTGAAGCTCCCTCAAAGGAATGGATACCACAACCCATTATATAAACATGCACTTTGGTATGTTTGGCTCTAGACCTCTGAATGCCAGACTAGGTAGAACAGAGAATGCATTTGACGCTGTCCATACGAGAAAGAAGGCTACTTACTGTTATCCTGAATTACTCTGTAACATCAAAATGTACTTGACAAATCAGCCAGTCTCAACACCACCTCTAACGTAACCAGCCGTGAGGGGGTCTATAGCAAAATACTCATTTATCATAAACGTACCAGTTTCCAAGTATAAAACCACACGTAGTGTTTACCCACAGGAAGAAAGAAATGCAAGTTTAAGAACAGCAAAGTGTTAACAAAGGGGAAAAAAATTACATAATCTATTATGAATTTGCTTTATAGTTTAAGTCGACACGTTCTATCACATACAGCCACTACTACTTCATTTTTTAATTTGTGTATTTATATTGTCACTCAAAACAGTGTTAACGTTCAGACAGAAAACACCAGTTTACACAGAGAACCTCATTGATTTGCTGAGATTAAACCTTTAAGAATATAGAGATAAGGATACTTCAACTGCAGCATGTATTAACAAACAGCTGTCCAAAAAATATTTAGTAAGCCAGCTTGAATCGCTTGAAAAGAAAGATACAGTCTAATCAAACTAGGAACATGTAGAAAGAATAATTTTTTTTCAGAATAATTTCCTATTGCAAAATTTTAAACTTTTTGTCAAGTGACTTTTGTGAATGATCTAGGCAGATTGCATACTCAGTATTTAAATAGATGCAATGCAAGATACTATTATCATAACTCATTTTTATGTGACTTGTTACAGAGGATAAGTTCTGTTATTAACATAAGCCAAACAATTCTCATTCCAGGCGCTTTTTAAATATCTAAGTATTAATCTGTGTTCATAACTCCACATGCTCCAGAGCCCAATTGCTGGTATTCTGTTGCTTTACCTTCTTAGATAAGGCCCCTTGCCCTCTCCTCTCCTCGTAAAGGTACAAACCTATACACTCACACACTTATTTAAGCAAAAACCTAAGCCAAGAGACGGTAAACAAAATCACATCAGCCCTTTTCCATCTTTACCTAATAGATTAGCAATCCACATGAAGTTTTAAAAGCAAAGCTCTCAGTATTTAGCAGTTTCTGAGGACGCCAAAGGGATCCATTTCTGGGTCACATACCCTCTGGAGAAATACACTGTAGTAGTCAGTTCCCAGCTCAGCTAGAGATGATTTTTGCCATAAGGCAAAATTATACACAGGGCTCAGGAGGCAACAAGAGCAAAGGAAAGAAAAAGAAGGCCAAGTAGCTGCCATTTGCCTTTCTGTGCAACACTTGATCAAGCCAGCCGGTTGTGCGAGTGCTGGACTTCGGTCTCCATTTCCATAATATTTACTTGTTATATTTTCTGTCATTTCAAGATATATTCAAGAAGTTTTCACCTATTTTTCCCCTTGCTCTGTGGAGATGGCCGGGTGCACATCTGCAGAAGGAATTGTACAGTATATTCATATTACCACTAGAGCACCTCAGCGGGTAATTTGAGCCTTTAAGTTTGAAGCTCCAATGCAGAACTTGTAAATCAATAATGTTAACAATTACAAATAAAATACCCGTCTGAATTGCTACAGAACCATGCAACTACTGCAAGGTAGGCCTGCCTCGTTACGGCTAAGATGAACTGAAAGGCTGCTCCACAGCCACAGGCACCTCCTGATGAGTCTTCTCTGCTTGCACCCTCCTGGTTTACACTACCACAGCGGCAAGGAAGGCTCGCTGAAAGCCCGACTCCAAAAAAGAAGAGCTGACTATTTGCCCTTCATATTAAACCAACATCCAAATCAGAGGGCATCTTTCGGTTTACACTTAAGATGTGCTTAATATTTTTTAAGAATATATATATTTACATTGTGTATGCACATATATATTTAAGAATGCCTAATCATTTTAAAGAAAAGAAAGGAACAGCAACACCAAAGTTAACAACTCTAACTAGCTCTTCCAGCACTGAACTGATGAGTGGCCACGCCATTAGGAAGACAGGAATAAACACTTCCAAGTTCTAGGAGGCACTAACTTCCCAGACTTCCTTATTAAGTTCAAGGTAGAAAAACGACCACTACTTCATACAGTTCAGATGCTAAAACAGATCTAAGGTGAAGTATTAAAATAGGAAGAATTGCAGCCATGGGATTTAGAATCCCATCTTAAGATCACCAGCACATGCACCCAGTGTTGCAGTATCTGGATAACATGTCACTCTATTTCTTCATTGGAGAAACAGAGCTCCCTGCCCTTGAGTTTAGTTTTGCCCCAGGAAAGGTGTAAAAAGTAAGGACTGGAATTTCCAACCCAGTGAAGTAACTGGAGATGAGCTACAGAGTCGCTAAAAAATCCTGGCACCAGGAAGGAGGCGAGGCTTGAACAACTGCCTTCCTACCAACACACTTCCATTTCTGTAGATGGGACAGGCTCTAAGAGGCCTTGGAGCTCATTTAATAACTTTATATACATATATATGTATATATATTTACATTAAAAATGCATTTCTCACTTCAATACTATAATGTTGACTTTGTCACAGCTAAAAAATTAATAGAAAGTCTTTCTTAAACTAGTGATATCTTAGGAAAAAAAAGGATTTTTACACCTCTGTACATGTAAATGTCACAAAAACAGTTTACAATCCGAAAATAACCAGTTCACCATCTGAAGGTTGTATCTAAATCAATAAATATCAAACTAACATAAGAATTTGCTACCGCTTGCCTAGTTCTTTTCTAACCATTCTTTTTTAAAAATGTCCAAATGAATTTGACACATTTATTAGCTTGATGTTAGGAAAATGCAAGAATCAAAAAAACTGTATCAAAGTGGAATAAAAAAGTATAGAATAAATGATTACTACTGTAATCGTGTATGCTTATAAGTATGCTTATAAGAGGGAGCCACCCTCATTTTAAATAGTAAATCACACCACCATATTAAAAAAAAAAAAAAAAAAAAAAGAAAATCACAAAACTTCAACTGTGCAGAGAAAGATTAAAAATAACCAATCCTATCTGTCTCAAATTAGATCTTGGCTATGCTGATAAAACTGTCATTAAGCTAATGAACTGTTGTGCTTCTAGAGGCACTTCTAGAATACCCATTTATCCCTAACTTCCATGAATGCACATTCCCTTTCCAGAGCACTGAGCTTCAGGTCTCACGATCGCCGAACAGCCCAGTCTCCAATGAGCACATGAATGTTCATGCCCTAAGTGAAAATAAGCATTAAAGCCCAAACTTGAACTATTGCTCACAGAAATCCAACTGTTTTTTTATGGAACACAGAGGTACCTTGCCCGTGAAAGGTACATCCACAGAATCTGGAGTGGTTTTATTCTCGTCACAATGGATGCCAGTGCTGCACTGCTACAGACCAGAAAACTCATCAGATCCAGAAAGATTTCCATCCACAGAACATCCACAATGAAAGAAACACCTTTATTTCATTAATGAATATATAGTTCTAAACTAGCTTTTTAAACTCAAAAGAACACGAATTACCTTATAAAAATTATTTAACCTACATACTTAAGCGTTTACATTCTTCTGTTGCTTGGAAAATGTTTTTCAAAGGTAGCTCATTTTTCTATGCAAACATACCAACTGCAGGCAGCTTCAGGAAAGATATCACGGTCAAAGAAAATAGTAGAACAAAAACAAAACCCAAAAATCCCACAGGATACAGATATTAAAAAGTTCTGCAAGTTCTAGCACTAGACAACCTGGAGGAAATGCTGCTTCTGGGAACACTCACGTAACGATCGTCGTCTTTTGTTCTTTAGCTTTCTTCTTTTATTCATTCCAGCTTTAGATGGAGATTCCTCTTTGGCCTTTGGCTGGCTGGCGACTTTCGAAGAGTTCTGCTGGCTGAAGTGTGTGGGCACGTGACGGGCAAGTCCTCCCTGAGACGCAAAGCTGGCGTTGCAGCCACCAACTACACACTGAGGAGAAAAAGAATAAATACAAACGGTGCCAGGCTCTTACGGGGCACTAATTCACATGAGTTTGACACCTTTTTCAGTTTGCCTTTTCCCCCTTAACTTCCAACGCACTAAAAGGAAAGTAAATTCTTAATGACTATGGAATTCTAAATAAAAAGATATACAGAATTACTACCCAAAATAAATCTGAATTTGTATTGGCTCATGACCATTATCCAGCAACATATAATCATCTCTTAACTATGCTGTATAACACTGTATAGCATGGAACCCATCTGAAATATCGCAGGGACAAATTCTCCACAGAAAACAAATCCATCTCAGGAACCTCCTTCCCCCTCCTCATCAGCTTGAGCCCCCTGCCTTTCTAAACTCTGCACTTGCTGCTCCACTCCTCAGCAGCACTCCAGTCTTCTGCCTCTGGTAACAGTAACCTTCCCTACCCTCTTCCTCTTCTCGCGACAAAGCAGAAGCAAACATCTCAATTAGAAACACCACCTTATCCACATTAAATCCATTAAATTTTTGAATTTAATGCTTTCTGTAAATGTGCTACCAAGTTAATAAAGGCAAGCTTTTAAAGTTATTGATGTTCAAATCTTATTCACAGTTGTAAGTTTTTTATGGGGCATTGCTATTACTTTGCAAGGTAACAGTGTTTTAAGTTTTATTCTTAAGAGAACGGCCTCTTTCTCTCAAACAGAAAAGATGCAACAGCATCTGGTTGAAAATACAGAAATTGCAAGATTGCAAGTACTAAGCTAGTACTGACTACAGTAATGACTGGTATTTTTACAAGCATTTGGTTTATACTTACAATTACCTAATTTAGAGAATGATAACTTAAATGATACTGTTTGGGAGCAACAAACTGTTGTCAAGTCACTCCTTTTCCTTTGCAGCAGGCAAGAGTGAAAAGGCAATTGCAGCAAAGCCACCAGCATTGCTCTGAGCCGTGTGGTTGTTCTCCTTCCTCCAGCTCTGTCCTGCTCATCCCTCCTTTCCCTCTTTCCCAGCGTTTATCCGCATCGCTCCGCTCCAGCACCCCCTTCACAGCACAATGGCCAAGCAGCTGCCACCTGACTTTGGCCCCAAGTAATGCTGCAGCTATGTCCACAACAGTGAGTTTTCTCTACAAGCTAAGGAAAAAATGTTACGCTTACCCCAGGTCTGCATGTTTGACTGATAGGCAAGAAAGCAGCTGCAAAACAGCACTCAGCACGTGCTGCCTGTGCTGCCCAGCTCTGCTATTTTCCACCGCAGCTGCAGAAGGACCAAACAGCCCATCTCTGCCTCAAAGTCATGAAGATCTTGCCTGATTGTACAACATGGGAACATAATGCCTCCAACAGCAATCCTCTGTTATCCCTCGGGACATAATATTTGTTTTAGGACTACAAATAATAGACTTCAAGAAAATAAAAGCCAAAAGCAGCAGGACATTTTAAACATTTTTATTTGCATTTTCCTATTTTTTCAGAAGGTTAAATAAAAGTTTTCTAAGCAGTCCTATGACTAGAAAGGTGTAGCTGTCTCATAAAAAGCTTTAAGGTTTTTCATATTGCATATTGTCCCTGCCATATACTGTGCACTTGCTCCCCCCAGCTTCCTCTGCCAGCAGCGGGTAAGCACGTCAGGAGCCGTGAAGATTTCAACTAAAACCCATCCTGAGCTGCAACTCCCCATGTTCAAAAACTGCAATGCTGTACACTTTTAATGAAGTCAACTGCAAAATCAAATCTATCAAGTTCAAACAACACTCAAAACCACAATTTCATTTAGTTTATGGTAACTTCAATGCAATATTAAACTCATACAGAAATTCCAAGGCTTACACTTTGTTCTACTAAAGATAAAACCAAACTCAAAATCAACATAGATAGAGATAAAATACTCATGGGTGCTTGTTTTACTTAAGCAATTTCTTAATCTCCAGGTCTTAAGTCCACGAAACCAGTCATTTTGCACAGAATAAACAGTTCCTTGAAAATAAACTAAGCAATTAAATCAAAACTTGATCAAAAAGATTTGACTTTCACTAAGGTGATACTGGCTTAACTTGCTACCTCTTTCCACATCTATGAGCACAGACCAGAAAAAAGTTTGAGCACAAAGAAAAATATTACCCTAAAGTTCAGCCTAACTCACTATGAAATTTAAGTTTTGCAAAAACCTGCTAGAAATGAAAAATAATATTAAAGTCTTGATATAGAATTATATTATTAAAATGTTAATAAAGTATAATGTCAAAAGGCAGTAGTACATGAATGATGTCAAGCACGTCTCAGAATGTGTAAAACCTTCAGTTTCCAGTATCTCTTGTCAGATGGAAAAAAAAGTGATTTTGTAATATGATTTGCAGCTTGACTCACAATGTCATAACAACTTTTTCCTAGCCATTTACAGAGAAAGCACAGCCACATATTCCGTAGATCTCCCACCACAGCTAGCACTTACTTCTTTGCTCTACCCAAATTTTCTTTGAAAAGCAGTAAACCAGCATTCTTAAATCCTTGACAGCTGCAACTTGCAATTAGAAATTATCTAAGAAGCACATTTATAGAAAGCAGGCGAGGCACAAAATAGTTGCAAAGAAAAACTCCATTCAGATACAGTATAGTCTGATACACTGTCAAATAATCAACATATACCAGAGAAGACAGAGAACAGTTTTGTAGTGACAGGAAATAGTAGAAGAGGGGAAAAATCTTACCTGTTTTTTCTGTATTTTTTCTCTAAAATAATATATCCCGCAATCCGTTACTACTGGGTTAAGTCTCTTCTCTCCAAAGATAAAGGAACAGTTCAGGCTGTCACTTCAGCAGCTCTGGACTCAAGTTGCACCAAATCAGCTGCCCACCACGTAATTAGGAGGATCTAGAGGGTTTCTAATGGACCAAACTCAAATCAAGTGCACAACTTTAAACTAATCTCTTTGTTTCCCAAAAAACTTAAGATTTCAAGACTTTGCATTTAATTTTTACCTATGACAGTTTGGGTCCGGATTGGTGGATATGTTACTTCAAGAGAAAATAAGTTAACATGTAAGAAGTTTAATTTCTCCAGTGTACCCATACCCACCATTGCTAAGGGGCAGCAATGACCAGTGAATTTAATAAACAGGACATAGAAATCATCTAGCAATATAGGGGTTTTTTTCTTATTAAAAATAATCAAATATTTTTAGAATATTCAATGTGTAACTTTTCTAATATTAAATGTTCAACAGTTGGACATCTGAATAAGCCTTACTGACTCCAGGTCTGACTGTCCTGGCAGAATTCCTTTACCTTCTCTACTTGCACCTGGAATGATCTAACGCATAGAAGCTCTTCTGCCCGACGAGTAATTGATATGAACTGAATGAGGACTGAATTTCCTTGGCTGTCTTCTGGGTTTCAACAAATGCTACTCTATTGAGAATCACGCAGAATTCAGTTCTCCCTTAATGAATTCTGGCAGTTATAAAAAGTAAAACAAGCGCCAAATTTTATTTTTATTGTTACTTTTTTAAAAAAATAAAGGATAAAACCTCTGCTAAGTCTATATGCTGTCATCCACTCTTTCAGAAAACCTTTTGTTTCAGAGTACACCCTGCATGACTGATTCCAAGCACAAACCCACTGGTAGCATGCACAGAGGGAATCCTCTGCTTGGAGAAATCTTTTATATGAAGCTGTTTTGCAGAAAATCTCCCCCAGTTCTGAGCCAACTCTGCTTTAGCATTTGCCCTTTCGTGGAAAACAGCTAGTATTGGGCTAATGAGGCTACATTTAAAGAGTTTACTTGGTGCCTCGGCCACGAGGTACAGCTAAGAGTACTCCAGATCTTTCTGAGGTACCAGAAACCACCCTGAAAAATGCGGGGTGCAACAGCACACTAACTATTCCATTATTTATTATTCATTACAGGCTAGTCTAGGACAATCTTATGCTTAAATGCTTATATGAGGGCATTCTCGCTCAAAGGCCAATGATGAGTTTTCTAACTCAACAGGTTATTCCTCTAGTTGCACCCATCCTAAGCGTGTTAAGTTGTGGAACTCTAGAAAGGACCACTGCTAAATGCTGATGACACTTCCCAGTGTTTCACCAGTTTCTAAAAAGCTACAAAACTTAATTTCTATAAGAGAACTAGAAAAGAACAGTGGAAGTTTCTGTAACTCTCAACTCTAGATGGATGATCATACACAAACACACCACAAGTCTTCAGTGTGTCTTTAGATAATTACAAAGTCTTTGTGTTAAATCAATGCCTCGAATGGCAAAAAGAGAAAAAGAAAAAAAGGGAGAGAGGGAACAGATAGCTAGAACCAAACTGCTATGAAAAAAGAGAAAACTGCCAACACCAAAGCACAAGCTTTAGGTACTAAAAGGAGAAGCAAAACTTCAAAAATACCCTACTGCAAGCAAATGAGTGTACGCCCATGTTCTGCAATACCACTTTTTTTCCCCTCCTTCTTTCCCTGCTTGACAACAAAACCAAACCTAAGAAACAGTGCTTAAATAAAAAATGCAACCAGAAAAGCATATTGCTTTGCAGGAATAATTTTTGACTCCAGAGAACTATATCTGAATTAACTTGTTTTATCCTGTTTTTGGACAGACTGCTAGGTGCTCTAGGAAATAAGCAATCTAAACTTAGAGATGACGGCCTCAAAACAGCAACAAACAAAAATCAACCCACTGCACTATCCATGTGTGCCACCTGAAGTCCAAGGCCATTAGCATTAAAGACTAAGAGTAGGAGGGCACAAGTGGAAGGGCACTGCAACAACAGTTAAGGAAAAATTGGGCTCCCAAATTCTGCTTAAAGATCTAGACTCCTTTTATTTCTTAGATCAGTGGATGAATGACTTATAAAATGGTTCCTTGTTATGAGAGCTGGACTCACTACTAGGAAATGGCTCCATATAAAAGCAGAGCTAGCCTATCAATGGGCTCAGAAATAAGTATTCATAAGCAAATTGACTTTTTCCGTGGCACAGAAAAAAAATATTTATGTTGAACCCTAACTCACATAAAAAAAAAAAACACAGGAAAACAAAAGAAAACAAAAACCTCCCACATATTTATTAATTTCTACATTAAACAATTCCAACTTTCTCATGCCTTTACAAACTAATGTTCCTCTTCTTTCTTAAAAATGTCCTGAACAGAAGGCCTCAAAATCCCTCAAACCAGACTAATACAGAAATAAAAGCAGAGACCTGAAGGCAGCAGAAATAAATGCTGAAGTGACACGCACTGAGTCATGATGTTCAAATACTGCCATCCTAGTATGTGATGCACTCTTTCCCTCACTCTGATCTCAAACTGCAGGAAGTCAGCTCATAAAATAAGTACATTTTACACAAGATGCTTCCTTTTAGATGAAGTGGTTGGAAATTCTAGGTCTCCATCTAGTCCAAAAGGCCGGGATAGCGGCTTTTGCAGAGTTTCCAAGGGAACTCTGGCACTCAGAAGTATTTGAGCTATTTCTGGGGCATGCTCTCTTCTTTCAAACACCGTGTCTGCAGCTGAATCCTTAACTGCCTCTCACCTATTCTTTCACAGGTTAAATTTCTTTCTTTAGAATCAACCCTGGAGCCAAACAGTTGCATTGTTTGGCAGTTTGCCTACTGGCCTCAAAGTTGCAGCATGGTAAATGCCTCATTGGAGCAGAGCCATGCTCCAATAACAGACCCTGAAACAGCAATTAAGAATCACCAACTTCGAGTCAGAAGAACATAAAGCCTACAAACCTACAAACTAAACTACTGAAGATTTACCTTATAAATAAGAAGCCAAGCATTATGTTTTAAGGCACACAGAATGTTCGATTCAAAGAGGAGCTGAGGGACAAGCTTCATCCGATGACTCATTTTTTAATTCGATTCAGGGATTACCCTTCACAATAAGATCAGTTACTGCAACAATCAATTTCTCCAGCTTTCAGGGATCTACGATGCTCACAGGATGGTTCTAAGAGCATGTGAACCACATGCTTGTGAACAAACACTAGGGTAACCTGGAGAGTGTTTTCCCTTGACACTTACTCTGTCACACATTTTCAGACTAAACTATGCAGTTTGGAATGGGAAGAAAAAAGAATTTCAAATGGAAAAATATAGTATAATCATCACTGGGAGAAAAAAGGTTTTCACTTGCACAGCAGTGTTTATAAATCTCCAGGCTTTTGTCACAGTTTTGTTTTCTGTCATAACGCAAAAGCTGTGCAGAAGACTTAATCCTTGAAGAGGTTACTGTAACAGAAAATCATTTTTCCAGTAATTAAACTTCTTTAAAATAGAAAAACAGGATACGCTACCTGAGGAGAGGAAGAAAAAAAAAGGAAAAGAAAAAAAAAAAAAAGAGAAAAATGGGAAGAAATATATGAGCTCTCCCCATTTTTTTCTGTTTTTTCTTCTTTTTTTTTGAGGCGGGGGGGAAGAGGGGAAAAAGGTAACTGAAATGTTATCTTCTTTTGAGGAAGCTCCTAACTGATTTTCAACCTCAGTCTAAAGCAACATGGGTGGGACTTACCATCCAGTGATGCAGGACTGCCAGCTATGAACTGCCCCCAACTGCCTCCACAAGGGCATGAAGCAACTCACTAGTAATGGACTGGTGGATATGGGAATGATAAACACTGCTGTACGCAGAATGGCAGGTACAGAGTAGGGGGAGAAAGAAAGAGTTAGAAATACTAAGCAGGAAATACAGTCAGCTCTATGGTCCTGCATTCCCAGCTTCCTGCTTATGTTTGGAGAGGCCATGACATAAACAGTCATTACCAGAGTTTCACCTGAAGCCTGTGAGCCAAGACTGCTGTTACCCAAGCACGGCATGTGCACCAGGTACAATCCTGCCTTTCACGTGGAAGGGGAAAGCACAAGGCAAACTATCTTAATGCCGCAGTGGGAAGGGAGGGAAGGGAGGGAAGGGAGGGCTTCAGACAGTGTTGTTCGCTTTGACTCCCCTACCATTTGTAATCTAAAAGGAACAGGGAGGAGCAGTCACAGGACCTTCAAGATGTTGGTAAGACAACAAAAGAGGCTCTTTGGGCACTACCACTCAGCTTATTTGAAACTTCAAGTCGATGCTCCTGCATTGGCATTATGATTAATACGGGGAGGGAAAAAAGGCTATCATTTTTAAAATAATGGATGACATTTATAATGAACCTTACCTTGAAAGGTTTGTCCCCACTGTGTGTCAGCATGTGCCTCTGCAACCAACTTTGACTTGTTGAAGGTGTATTATAGACTTTGCAACCTTTCCATAAGCAAACAAACACCTAGTAAAGTAAAAACATGATTAGCTTAGAAACAATGAAATAGTAAAAGGTTGTTCAAGATCAGATTAAAAAAGAAGTCTGTTCTCATAATACGAAGTAGTTCAAAACATCTTGAGACAACAACCACCAACTTTTAAATACTTCTAATACCAGAGAGGAAAACAAAAAAACAAACAAGAACAAAAACTCATACAAAATATCAAAAACTCAGATGCTCCTCCAGATACACTCAGGATTGGCTGTAGATACAGCAGAAAACACCAACTCTTTAGTCATTTTTAGACATAGAAGAATTAAATGACAAATTTACGTTTTCTGGATAGCAACAATGGAAATCAATAGAAATGAAGAAGAGATCTAATAACCAAGAAAAAATTCTTTGAGCACGACAAAGCTCATTTTTTCCAGATATCGGAACTCTTACAATAAGAGTTTTATATTCAGGAAAACTGGACAGTCTAAACTGGTACTTTATACTCCCATCCTGATGAAGAAAGTCACAACCTGAGCTTGGGATTACAAATCCACAAGCCTTCTTTGAACTGATGTCAGCGTACAGATCAGCCCCATGCGCTGTTGTGCACGAAGGGAGTACAACTTACGCTCCTTTTCTTTCATCTCATGCTCTCTATTTATAACCTAAAGAACAAAAAAGGCTCAATGAATCTGGCTTTCATTATAATTTCCTTAACAGGTCCATGTGTAAGGAAATCTAATATATAACCTTAATTTTTAACAGCAGAATGCAGTCTCCAGGAATAGAGCTGTCCAAGATAGAAGATTTCAGAACTACAGGATTCAAGTTTCTGCTTCTGTCTCAGAAATTAAAAAATATGAATCTGCAAACCCCGGTGTTTGATCACAGCAGCTCGATCCAGCTTACTGATGAAAAGTTGGGAAGCCTGCACGCCTGTGCAGCTGGTCCAGGCTCACCGGGCCACAAAGCCCAGCTCTAACACATGTGGTGCCTGCTCCACCTCTGCGCAGAGGTGCCCTGGCCACCAGCAGCCACAGAACTCGTTACTTGGAGGTTCCTGGCCCTCCAACAAGGCTCATGGCTCTCCAGTGTCCTCCTCATCACCTGCAGACTGCAGGGCACTCAGCAACAGAGAACTAATATGAAACAGCAAATTACAGAAACGCAGCCCCCTCAAGCACTTGAGTTTATGAAGACCCTTCAGACGTCTGGGTAAGGCTCCCTAAGAAGTGCTGAACCCATAATATTCCTGACAGAGCTTTTCTTTCTTTTCTTTGTTTTTATTTCTTTTTTGTTTGGGTGGGTGGGAGGGGAAGGGATAGAACTATTTTCTCAAAAACTTTCTAGGCTTTCCATGGGGCTATTTGGTTTGCTATGGAACTATTACCTCAACAATATCTTGAAAAACATGCATTGATTTTGCCATACAAGGATGCTTCTCTCTGCTTCTAAGTTCTCAGTAAGCAGTTACTCTCTACGACATCAAATACAGAGGCAATACAGAGAAGCAGTGTCTGAAATCCAGCCAAAATTCCAGTATTTCTGACTCGACACTTAAAGGCCTTGTCAGCAGGTGGCAGACAAGTCCTTGAAACAAAACAGCCAGTGCCCGAATCCTTCCCAAGCACTGAGTTCAAGAACTTTTGAGACACCAACAAAGAAAGCAGCTATACTAATAAAAACACCTCGAGCAGGACAGATGAAGGACGTGCGGCATGAAGCTGCGAGGTGCAGGGTGCTTCTGTCTCCTTTGGAAAGACCATTGCAGTCTACAAACAACCGTCCCACCAATTACACCACAAGGAATGTAAGTAAAGAGAAACAAAATTAAAAAGAAAATACCATCTTTTTCTAAGGAGTCAAAAGAAGTCAAAGATGGGACAACACTGATTACCACAGAGCCACGCATTAGAAAGCCCACAGGACAGCAATACACCCAATGTACGCAATTCTTTTATCCAGGATCCAAATGGTATTTTTATAAGTATATGAACAGAACTACAAGAAATGATCTTACAGATAGTTAAAAAGTTGATATACTGGCTGGGTGACTCTGCTCAGAGCTTGGACTGAAACCAGAAAGCCAGCGAAGCTGGAAGTTCCATCACACTAAAAGCCATTACCTAATGCAAGCACTGAGTCAGGCCTGTCTCAGTGACAAAATGAGCTCTGCACCGTGCTATTAGGCATGTTTTGCTTAGCTCTCCTGTACACTCCACATAAAAGTTAATGGTCTAACATTTCTCTTCTAAAGAAGTGGCAGGACAAAAAGTCACAGATAATAACTACTCTAGATTTGACATTACCTTTCCAGTAAATTAAAGGGACGCAGTGTTATGATATTGAACGTCCAATATGAAGTCAGACTGCAAAGCTTACTTCAAAAATGGCTTGCACAGGGAGATTGTTTTTGTTCAAATACAGAGCTGAAACCACATCACCGGGAGCCGTTTTGAAGCATTACTATTGTGAAAGCAACAGAAACTGCACCCCCTGACCTGGGAGTCAATTAAAACTGAAACACATAGACAGCCATGTGTGCTTCAGAAAAATACCAGCTGCAATGTATGCTGAAGCTCTGACTTTCAAACACCTTCCATAAGAGCTGTAAACAAAGCTGTTTCACCTTGAACTCCCAAGATAACCAATCTTATGTCTGCCCTATTATATATTTATGTTTATATATATATATATATAAATTCTAATGAGATTCCATTTGAAACATTATCAAGGTGCGACTTTTCCTCAGTTTACAGGCAACAACGTGTATGCTAACAATCTTAGGAAAATTAATGCCAAGTATAAGCCCTTTAAGCCCTTACAGATATGCCAACAGCTTCAGGATGCTGAGAGATTATCACTTCTAACAATTTCAGAGCTTCCGATGACTTATGAAGAAGAAATCACTGCATGTCTGATTTAGTCACTCAAAAAAACCCCCAAAATGGTACACAAGGTAGCAAATTCAGAGGTCAATGTAAAACACAACAGCCGAACAGCCAATACCAAGCTGCTGAAGGCTTATTCCTAGTTACTACTAGATAAGGGGCTGCTACTTTAAACCAAAAATAATGCCTGGCATCGCAGAATGGAATATTGAGAGGGAAAGAAGAGGAAAGAAGACAGGGAAAGTAACACCAACCCCTCCTCGCTGACCATCCACGTGTATGGAGCGGATGTGATCTGCTAAATCCGGGCTGGAGCTGAAGCAGGCATGGCAGTGGTCCCAACAGCAGTTGTAGGCGATGCTTTTCGTAGAGGAGGTAGGAGCTCCTTGTCCATTCATCATAACTGGAGTCGAACGGCCACTGGAAATTGTGCTGTCTACATCCATAATAGTGCTGCTTATGCTGTAAGACAAAGAGAGAAAGTCAGTGTCTGGTGCACAGTTTCTCTTTCAGAGTATTCAGCCACATTGAAAGGATCTTAGGCAAACGTAGCATTATTTTCAGTGGTTCACTGCCCAAACTACAGTAAACTCATAGTAAGAAAGCAATTATTTTATCTCTGCAGTATAACTTATTCTGGACACAATCAACAAAAAGGAAGGCTGGAAAGATTCTTCTAATAATTAATTTACCAGATGATTAATTATCCTGTAATCAACCATCATTTTTAAACAATATCAAGTAAACATTTCCATTCTTCAGAAACGCACAAACTAAGAGACGTTGGGTCAGACAAGGGATGCATCTAGCCCAGTGTCCACCATTAATTCTAGATCTTTAAAAGGAACACAGAAGAGAAACATTCACAAGCTTTACAGCACTCCTGCATTTGCACGTAAGCTCCCCCACTTTCAGGGCAGCTCGGGACTTGGGTTGTTTTGTGGTGAGTTTTCTTGGGCAACTGCCCAAACTGGGCACAGTGATCCAGATACAAGCACATAAGCGGGATTCTACTCATCAGCTAGCTATGCTTTGGCTAATACAGGCCTGTATGTGGCAGTAATTTTTACTTACCTGTCTTTAAACACTATTCTGGGCAAAGTGCAAAGAATGCTCAAATTAATTTAAAGAAAGAAAAAATAATACTGTGCCATTCGCTTCCATATAACATTTATGATTCTAGACTTTAGTAACACCTCTTTTCTCTTCCCAAGCCTTTTGCATCTCTTTTCTGTGCCAACCTGTCCTGCTTTTACAGGGATGGGTGCTGTTTCACCCTCTGACCATGACTGAAAGCTTTTTACATATTCATTCTTGCTCTACTAGCTTTTGAGATGGGTGAAACTAAAAGGGAATCATTATTCAGGATACCAATATCCCACATTGCCTGTCTTCTGTTTAATCACTACTGAGCCATCACTTTTTTCCAGACATCTATGACGACTTCAAGACCTCTTTGCTCATTTGCCTGGTTTAATTTCTTCCTCACCTGCTATCTACATTCCTCCGTATTTATCAATATCATATTTCATGGCTTAGTCACAATAGCAGATTTCCCCTGAGATACCTTGCATGTTAAGCTGCAGTTTTGGCTGCTCCAAGTAATTTGGTACCACTAGCAAAGTTTGATCCAAAGCGGGAGAGCTACCAGTAAGGTACCAGTATGAAAATGCTGACTAGCATATTCCATGAACAGATCACTTTGAAATCCCCTTCTGATACACTTGTCTCCTGCTATAGTAAAATTGAGCACTTATTTTGAGGCCTTCGCTTTCAAAATTGATCCGAAAAGAATCTTTCAAACATCTCTTCAAACATTTTAGTTTCATAACCTTGAGAACAGAATTCTACTTCTAAGTACACCAAATTCCTAAGTTTTACATGTCATGCTAACACCATATCCTATTTTCCTACAAAAAAAAAAAAAAAAAAAGATCCTGCTATTTGCAAGGCAAGACCTTTCCCTGCGAAAGCCACAACGACTATTTCCTGCAATACAAGGTTCTTCCATGTGTCTGCATTTTAAATTTCTTCCCTCTTCTATATCCCGAATATTACAAATCTTTCTATCACCCCTTCTCACCCTTCGCTCCTTTCTCCCCCTCCGAGAAGCTGCTTCTCTTGCCTTTTTGCCATGTCAAGTCACCAACTGCCACTACCGAATAGGGCAAAGGTGGCCAAAGGAGCAGGTAGATGTAGTGTGATTCCACTCAACTCTGCTCCCTTTCTCCAAAACACTGTTTTGGCTGCTCATTAGAAACTTCTGAAAAACGCACCTAGTATTGAGTAGAAGCTACGAATCCCAGATGAGCTACTAGTTACAAATTACTTGTTCGAGTAGTTTAGTAGTTTTAGTAGTTTTGTTCTAGTCATAGCTGTTAAGTATAAAACACAACACAAGCACTAGCAATTTTTCCACCAAGCCAGGCCCACTACAGAGGTACTAGGGGACCGTCAACCCCTCAACTCTTCAACTGACGCCCAAGCCAAAAACTATTCCTGAAGGTAACACACTTAGAATTGTGTTATGAAAGCCAAGGCAACCAACAGGATGAAAAGCAGGAACTGAAGACACAATTTAATTAGACCCCATATAGCTGATTTATCAAAAGATACACTTCTCACATTCAACACTGAGGAGAAGCTTTAAATGCAATACACAAGAATGTACAGTAAATACAACGTTGTATTTATTGTAAGTACAATGTGGCACATAATCTGATCATTCATGCTGAGCTTGTGAATGTCATCAAGCTCAGCAGCACCCACAGGCAGGTTCTTAACCAAGACCAGCAAAGCCCTGCAGACCCACGGCTCCCGCAGCAGCTGCCTCGGCTCTCTTCAGGTGGAGAAACAACCCCAATTTTTTCAAGGTTGAGAAGTGTCGAGATTTTTATTTTTTTTCCAATTAGGAACTCCAACATCCAAGCAATTGACTATCAGACCCTGTATCTACAGCCATTGACAGCACTGGAAGCAGTCTCAGGAAGCCACCAGAAGAGCAAAAGTCAACTTTCAAATAAAAGGCATAGAACTCTAGATTCTAGATGGACTAAGAATGAGTTTTAAGCTATATGTAACAAAAGCACAACTTCTCAAGGGTGCCCATCTTTTAAGGCCTAGTCTTAAGTGAGAAGACCATTAGAAACCATAACCAAGTACGAATTTTGTGAAGGACGTGTGTGTGGTTTCTTCAGTTGACAGGCATGAAATATGACTAATTTCTCTAAAAAAAAATTAACCAACCCGCAGCGAACGAGTGTTTATTCCATACTGCAAACCCAACATACTCTGATCACTTTGGGGTACACAGTCACAGGTCAGTAATTTTTTACAGCCTAAGAACCACAAGTGGCCAGATATCCTGAATACGCTCGTTCACACACGGAAAACAAATTTATTTCCAGGGAAAAAAATATGGAAGAGATGAAAATAGCAATATTGGTTCAAGACAGGATATATTTCTAGTTGTAGATGGATAAATAAAGGCATAATTTGATTAATGAGTTGAGAAACCAGTAATACTTAGAAAACTAATTTGGTTACGATAGTTTAAGCGACTGCTTGATTTGTTTCTAATAGTTGAAATATTTGCTCGATTTGGTTCTAAGAAGCTAAGTGTTTGATAAGGGCTGACAGATTAGAGTTTCATGTATTATATCAAAACTTAATATTAGAGGAACAGGAACAGAAAGAGTAGGCCATGCCACTTACAACAAACAAAAGCACAGGACACTTCTTGGGAGGTGAGGATGAAGTGCAACATCTCACCATGCTGCCCTGATCCATTCAACGAGGATGAATTCCACATAACTGTCAAATCCAGTTGAGCTTACACAGATCCATTACTTAAAAGAGAACTCCCCCTTTCTCCTAGGTTGAGTAACTGTGTAAAATATTAAAGAGGGCTGATAACAATATTGTTATCAGAGGACCTAGCACAGAAATAGCTAAAATGCTTCTAAAGCAAAATGGCAGCAGCCACACAACACAGTACAATTTGGTGACTGTTTCTCCTGGCAGCTTCTCCCAAAGTGCTGCCCTGGCACAGTCCTTCAAGAGAGACAACCCCTTAAATAAAAAGCGCAAAATTCAATTTGTGATTTTCACAGAATCCCTGAATAGCTGAGGTTGGAAGGGACCTCTACGAATCATTTGGTCCAAGCTCCTGCTACCTCGAGGTCAGCTAATACAGACTGCACCCAAGACCATGCCCTGTGTGTGCAGAAGCCACGTATCTTAGATAGTCAGGAATCTAGCAGCACTCAGAAGACCCATGATTATTTTCTGTCTTTCAGACTTTATGAGTTTTGGGACGTTAGGAAAAAACAGTCAGAGCTGTGTGTGAAAAGAATCCCCGTGAGACCAGAGCACATCTTTCCTCTGCACCATAATGTTTTATACAGCTCAAACATGTACACATTTTGTCTGCCAGTATTCCACATGCTGAGAAACCAAGAAACTTGGGGGAGATAAATTTATAGCCTACATGGCATCAGAGAAGACGATGACATTGAGGGCCACTTGCCACTGAACTGCAATTTCAAGATGTAGCTGAAAGACAACGACAAGTTCTACAGTCAGAGCTGTGACGGCTGCTGTTGGACACTGTGAAGACTTACGTGCAACACTAGTTTTCTTTGACCTGCTGAGTCACCCAATTTGTTTTTGTTCTTTGGGTTTTCAAAAAGGGCACAAGGCAGGATGCGCATGGAGGCAAGATGTGTCCACACATCCCATATTTAATCCAGCAGAATCTTTTCCTGACCGGAAGAATGGGAGTGAATCTGCTTGAGTGAAACTCAAGCAGACTTTCCCACATATCCTTTGCCTCTAAATGGAACTTTTCAGTCGAATGTGACTCTGTCTACCTGAGGTGAGCCAAGAGAGGGAAAAGGTCCTTAACAAAGGAAAGGAAGCAACGCAAAGTACTTGATTCTGCTTTACTTTCCCTTTCACACTCGCAATCCACAAAGCCCATGAAACAGAAACTAATCGTCTACATCAAAGAAGAGGAGCAAAGTTCTGGAAACGCCTGAGAAGAACACAAAGTGTTTAGCTAAGTCAACTCAAGTGAATTTCTCCCCCTGCAAAGAGCAGGAGAAGGCTTTTCCCTCGCGCCGCACGGAGCCGCGGCCCGCCTGCCCCCCTGCAGCAGCGCGTCGGCGCGCGGCCTTGCCGTGGCGCGGCGCGCAGGCAGGCGGCTTTGCTCCCGCGCGGGCTCCGCGGCCATTGTAACGGAGCTGCAGAGCATGGCCTCACGGCGAGCGTTAGACACTGGAGCTTCGGCGGGTTCAGCTCAGGGGTCATCCCGAACAATAGAGCATCAAAAACAGTCACTGCTGGAGAGAGCCAGCTCACACAATAGCTGTTTTTAAGAACCCACATTCAAAAGACCGACTAATTACTAAAATTTAAAACTGTTGCAGCAAGCGCAACATGGACTTCAAGCTTACACTATC